GCATAACCAGCGTACAGTAATGTCTACAGTGTACATGATGTTACAGTGTACATGTAGTTACAGGTGTATATGTTACCAGTTTATATGTATGCTTACAGTACATGTATCGTTACAGATGTACTATGTTATTATAACAGTTACATGTATTCAATGTGTACATGTATTGTGTACATGATGCGTTACAGTGACATGGTATGCGTTACATGGTACATGTTATTGTACATGTATGTGTATGTATACAATTAATATTACATGTATTTTTTGCATACATATTACATGTATCGTTACATATGTTACATGGTATGTGCTACAGTGTTACACTGTCATCGTATCAGGTGTACACGTATGCGTAACAGATGTAACATGTATGGTACAGGATGTACATGTATGCGTACAGACTGCTACATGTATTGCGTACATATGTACATGTATGCGTTACAGATGGCTCTCCCCCGAGCTCCCTCCCCCGCTCACTCGCCCTGATCATTAGCCTCCTACATGCTAGGCGGACATTCCCTCCCCATCGTCATCATCATCATCATCATCATCATCATCGTCATCATCATCATCATCACCATCATCATCATCATCATTATTATCATCATCTTCACCATCATCATTATCTTCATCATCATCATCATTATAATCATCATCGTTATTAACTTCGACAATCATCATCATCATCATCATCAACGTTATCAACTTCAACAATCATCATCACCATAACCAAAATAACAACAAATGAAGCGCAAATGAATCAGTCAAGGTTGCCATTTCTCCGTCCAGCCTCCCCCCCCCACACACACAGCAACGAAAAGCAAAAACAACATCAACACGAGACAAATCGATCAATCATCAATCGATCAATCATCATCGCTTCAAATCAAATCCTGCATATACGCTGTCACTGCGACGACCGATGCAACATAACCAGCTTCGTCACTCCGAGACACCAGCCCGTGTGCCGCACACACACACACACACACACGTGCAGCCACAAACAGGCGGCACCTCCCCCCTCCCCTCCCCCACACGAGCGTCATAGCGGGCGGTGCCTCCGGCAGCAGCCAGACACCGTAACCCGCGGCAACGACGACGACGATGACGACGGATGCAGAAAGCTGTAATAAAACGTGCTGCAGAAACGAAAACAGCAACACACGTAAAGCGCGGCCAGACCAAACACACAGGCAGCCAGCCAGCCAGGCAGGCAGGCAGGGAGGGAAACAAGCAAGCAGGCAGCAAAGCAAGCAGCGCAAGCAGGAAAGCAAGCGGCGCGCACATGGTTAGTAAAACAAACAGCAAAAAAGCGCACGAGTAAAATATAGCACGAGTGAAAACTCCGGGCAGAAGATGGCGGGGCATCCCAACATTACCGGCGCCCTCTAACTTCGTAATGCGTCCGCAAATCCCACTATCCCCACAAAACCGCGCTACACATCCGGATGCTCTGATGTTAGGCTGACAAGTGGTGCCATCTGGTGGACGGTCCACATTATCTTCTGCGTGTATTTGCTTTTTGACGCGCTGCCCCAGGCTTTATGACCGTGTTCTGTGACCCCCTCCCCCTTAACACCCCTGTGACTCCTCCCCCTTAACACCCCTGTGACCCCTCCCCCCTAACATCCATGTGTAGACAAGAGAATTTTCGCGACTCTCGTATCGAAATCTCGCTTCAGTGCCGCCAGCTGCTTGGCTCCGACACCGCCCCTACCCCCACGACTAAATTGGTACGACCCGCCACCTCCCACCCTTGCATCTCGGCTGCGGGGGCGGCCGGTGCGTCGCCCCGCATCCCCGCACGTGCGTAGCCATGCAGCAGCCTCGTTAGCAGGTCGCCACGGTAACGGGGAGGCTCGACGGGCGGACGGCGTGGGAGGCTGCACTGCCGTCGTCTTAGTGACGTGACGTTTGCTATGGGGCGCTTGCGCAGCTGTTTCACTTCCCACTGATGTACACATACTTACATAGACAGCAATACACAAACATGTACACCTGTACGCATACATGTACATATGTACGCATACATGTACATCTGTACGCATACATGTACACCTGTACGCATACATGTACACCTGTACACATACATGTACATCTGTACACATACATGTACATCTGTACACATACATGTACATCTGTACACATACATGTACACATGTACGCATGTATATGCATGTGTGTGTACGTACGTACGTACATAATATATACACATTCATACACATGTCATGTACATTGTTCATTCACATATGTTCACTTATGTACATGTACTGTTTATAAGTACATACACACGTGCGTACGTGCGCATACAATCAAACTCACTCGCGCGTGACAAACACATGAACGTCTATGATGCGTGCGCGCTCACCTATCAGTCCTCCGCCTGGTCCGTACATGCCCTGGTTGTACTCCATTGCGCCCCCTGGTGGCGGGTACTGGTTGTAGCCTTCCATGCCCGGCGCTCCGTACGCGGCGCCAAACGAGTCTTGAGAATTCGACGAACCAGCTGTTAGGGAAAACGCAAGAGCATGCACGTCGATCAATGTCGACAGAGACAACTCATGCAAGAGTACACGAGGGAGATGGGAAGGTATTGGGCAAGGAGGAGGGCAGATGTGACCTGTGGAAGACACCAGACACCAGAAGTCATGGAGCAACTATCTTTCACATTGTAAATGAAAATGAGGCACTACCACCTTTAATAATACCCAAGTCAAACAAAAATAAAAAACGTGAGAAATTACGGAAAAAAACACCAACAACAATAAACAAATACGTTCGACCAAAAAAAAATAAAAATTCCGAAAAAGTTTCCGATTCTCACCTGGAGATGGCGCGCAGCGGCTCTGCTCGGCGCGCTGCTTCTTGTTTCGCGACGCCTGCGACTCGAGCTGCGACAGCACGCTCTGAGGGTCGACGCCGCCGTGGTCGAACTTGCACGCGTACGGCAGCAGGTGCTTGACGAAGTGCTTGCGTACGGTGTAGGCGGCGCTAGCGGAAATGCTCACCTTCAGATGCGCGGCGATATCCTTCCACAGCTTTGCGCGAGTCACCTGCAGCCAGGGTAGGAAATACGCGGGAGCGATGAGCGACGGGCGATCTCAGGGTAGAGTCCCGGGGTAGGGTCGTGACTCGTGGGGTCAGGTCAGGGGGTTGGGTCCAGGGTAAGAAATACACGGGAGCGATGAGCGATTCGCTCTTCAAACCTCCGAAATCGCTCCCGTGAGGCTAGGCTCACTGTCTCTCTCACTCACTTTCGCTCACTGCTTTCTTGCTCACCTACTCCCACCTCCTCCCCCTCTCTCCCTAACCTCCTCCCCCTCTCTATCACCTCCTCCCCCTCTCTCTCTCACCTCCTCCCACTCTCTCTCACCTCCTCCCCCTCTCTCCCTCACCTCCTCCCACTCTCTCTCACCTCTAGGAAGCCGCCGCGGTCGCGCACGGCTAGGTACAGCTTGTAGAGGTCTATCTGGTTCTTGTTGATCGTCGGACCACCTCCTCCCCCTCTCTCACCTCCTCCCCCTCTCTCTCTCACCTCTAGGAAGCCGCCGCGGTCGCGCACGGCTAGGTACAGCTTGTAGAGGTCTATCTGGTTCTTGTTGATCGTCGGACCACCTCCTCCCCCTCTCTCTCTCTCACCTCCTCCCCCTCTCTCTCGCCTCCTTCCCCTCTCTCTCTCTCCCCTCCTCCCCCTCTCTCTCTCTCACCTCCTCCCCCTCTCTCTCACCTCCTTCCCCTCTCTCTCTCTCACCTCCTCCCCCTCTCTCTCTCTCACCTCCTCCCCCTCTCTCTCGCCTCCTTCCCCTCTCTCTCTCTCACCTCCTCCCCCTCTCTCTCTCTCCCCTCCTCCACCTACGTGGCAGGCGGGTATCGGCGTGGGTGGAGGGTGATGGTGTGGGTGGGGGGGGATTTAATCGCCGTAGTGTTTTTAAGCGAGGAAAAAGTACAAAGTGAAAGGATGGGGGGGGGGTTAGCCTCGTTACGAGGTAATTATAAGTTTCCGCCTCGTTAATTAATTAACTCAGCCTAATTCACTCGCCGACTAACGCTGGTGGATGTGCTGCAACATCGCCTCTTTCTTCTGTAGAATTCTAGTTATATGCAGTTATATTACATTGATTAGTTACAGTTATATGAAGTATAGCCTACAGTAGTTATAGTTATATGTAGTAATATGTACATGTAGTTATAGTTATATGTAGTAATATGTACATGTAGTTATATTATATGTAGTAATATGTACATTGTAGTATACGTACTATAGTTATATGCAGTAATATGTACATGTAGTTATAGTTATATGTAGTAAATGTACATGTAGTTACAGTTATATATAGTAATATGTACATGTAGTTATAGTATATGTAGTAATATGTACATTAGTATTTATACTATAGTTATATGTAGTAATATTTACATGTAGTTATAGTTATATATAGTAATATGTACATATGTAGTTAACTATAGTTATACTGTAGTAATATGTACATGTAGTTATAGTTATATGTAGTAATATGTACATGTAGTTATAGTGTATATGTAGTCAAATTGTACATGTAGTTATAGTTATATGTAGTTAATTGTACATGTAGTTATACTATAGTTATATGCAGTAATATGTACATGTAGTTATAGTTATATGTAGTCAATATGTACATGTTTTATAGTTATATGTAGTATATGTACATGTAGTATTATAGTATATATAGTAATATGTATATGTAGTTATAGTTAATATGCAGTAATATGTATATGTAGTTATAGTTATATGTAGTAATATGTACATGTAGTTATAGTTTATATGCTAGTAATATGTACATGTAGTTATATTTATATGTAGTAAAATGTAGTAATATAGTACATGTAGTTATAGTTATATGTAGTAATATGTACATGTAGTTATAGTTATATGTAGTAATATGTACATGTAGTTATAGTTATATGTAATTATATGTACATGTAGTTATAGTTATATGTAGTAATATGATACATGTAGTTATAGTTATATGTAATAATATGTACATGTAGTTATACTATAGTTATATGTAGATTATGTACATGTAGTTATAGTTATATGTTGTTATATGTACATGTAGTTACAGTTATATGAAGTAATATGTACATGTAGTTATAGTTAATGTAGTATATGTACATGTAGTTATAGTTATATGTAGTAATATGTACATGTAGTATTCAGTTAATTATGATTATATGTACATGTATTAGGTTTAGTTATATGCAGTTACTATAGGTATTATGTTTAATATATAGATGTAGCATTCATTTGTTCTATGTCTCGGCGTCATGCATGTGCATAATCTATTTATAAGTTATCGCGTAGCTTTATTTATGCTGGGTATTATGTGTAGTTTAGCTGATGTACGATTAATTATAGGTAGGCAGTCATAGTATTCGATAGAATGAAATTACATTGTAGTCATAGGTATATTAAAATAGAAATATCTATGAGTCTTCTGTCTCCTTACTCATCCCAAACCAATGCTAGATTCACCGGTGGGGAGGGGTGAGTTTACGGCGGGCGCGGAGCCAATGTCGACAGGGGCTATTATATGGCAGTATGCCACAGTGGTATCCCCGAGGAACATGTGATGTCCCGTCAACGCGACGGGAGCCGAGTGAGTTCAGGGGGCCCACTGTGCTGCAGCCTTTCACGGCAGAATTGTGCTTGTCAGTTGTTGTCAGTGTTGTCCACTGTTGTGTTTTGTTGTCGCTTGTCAGTTGTTGTCAACTGTTGTGTCATACTGTTTGCTGATTTTTGTACCGCTTGCACTTGTTGTCAACTGTTAGGGACTTGGTTATAGCTTGTCGTCGTGTGTCAGATCATTGTCGCGTATTGTCACTGTTGTTGGCCATGTTGTCAGTTTTGCACTGTGTGTGTAGCTGTTGTCAGTTTTCGTCGTTTTACGGTGTTCTTAAATCTCTCTCCTCTCTCCCTACACATACGCGAGACCTCCTCTCTCTCTCTCCTCTCCTATGTATGATCTGTCTCTGTCTGTCTGCCTCGCTGTCTCTGTCTGTCTGTCACTGTCGGTCCTGTCTGTCTGTCCTGTGTCTGTGTGTCTTGTCTGTCTGTGCTCTGTCTGTCTGGGTCTCTGTCTGTCTGGTCTGTCTGTCATTGTATGATATCGTCTGTATGTCTGTCTCTCTGTCTGCCTCTCTCTCGCGCTCCCTTTCTCCCTCCTCTCTTTTCTTGTTCTCCTCCTCCCTCCCTCTCTGTCTCTCTCTCTCTCCTTCTCGCTCGCCTGCCTATAGTTAGTCCTATGTTTGTATTGCTGCTTCTATGGAAGTATGTGTCATGCACGCCTTGGGAAGTGAATACAGCATCTGCCGCAACGCGCCCCATAGCAAACGCACTCACTAAGACGAACGGCAGTGCAGCCTCCCACGCGTCCGCCCTCGAGCCTCCCGTTTACGTGGCGACTGCTAACAGGCTGCTGCCAATGGCTACGCAGCGTGCGGGGATGCGGGGCACGCCACCGCCGCCCCGCAGCGGAGATGCAAGGGTGGGAGGTGGCGGGCTACCAATTTAAGTCGTTTGGGTAGGCCGGTGTCGGAAGCCAGCAGCTGGCGGGCACTGAGGCGAAGATTTCGATACCGAGAGATCTGCGAAATTCTCTTGTCTACACATGGATGTTAGGGGGGAGCGGGTTCACAGGGGTGTTAAGGGGGAGGGGGTCACAAGGGCTGTTAAGGGGCAGGGTGTCACAGCGGGTGTTAAGGGGGAGGGGTCACAGCGGGTGTTAGGGGTGGAGGGGTCACAGGGGTGTTAAGGGGAGGGGTACACAGAAACACGCGTCATAAAGCTGGGAGCAGCGGCACAGTCAAAAAGCAAATACACGAGAAGATCAATGTGGACCGTCCACCAGATAGCACACCTTGTTCAGCCTAAACTCAGAGCATCCGGATGTGTAGCGCCGGTTTTGTGCGGGATAGTGGGATTTGCGGACGGCATTACGAAGTTAGAGGGCCGGTAATGTTGGGAATGCCCCGCCATCTTCTGCCCGGAGTTTCCACTCGTGCCCTATATTTGTACATCTGCCGCTTATTTTGCTTGTTTTTTTACTAACCATGTGCGCGACCGCTTGCTTTCCTGCTTGCGCTGCTTGCTATTGCTGCCTGCTTCGCTGTTTCCCTCACCTGCCTGCCTGCCTGGCTGGCTGGCTGCCTCAGTTGTGTGTGGTCTGGCCGCGCTTACGTGTGTTGCTGTGTTCGTTTCTGCAGCCACGTTTATTTACGCTTTCGCAATCCGTCGTGCATCTCTCGCGTTTGCCGGGTTACGGTGTTGGCTGTGCCGGAGGCACGCCGCTTATGACGCTCGGGTGTGGGGAGGGGGAGCGGGGGAGTGCCGCCTGTTTGTGCGCGGCACGCGTGGGTGTGGTGGTGCGCAGCTGGTGGTGTGTGGTGCGGCACACGGCTTTGGAGTTCTGACCACCGCCACGTTTTCGCGAAACAACGTATGCCACCACTTTACTACATCACGTCCACACATCCTACATCCACCTTCCAGCTAAGCGCCGCTGCCATCCAGTCACACGCTCCCGCGCGAGCGCAGTGGACGAAGTCCTGGGTTATGTGGGCACGGTTCCGCCCGGGCCGTGCTATGGTGAATCGCATGGGAAGTGGTGATGCAGGGGTTATTGAATTATGAAAGACGATGATGAAAGGAACATATATCAGTTCGATGTTGTTCGATTAGATGAGGGGTACAACGACAGGGAAACTTGCAGTCGGGATTTTTGGGGTTCTGATGCTTCGTGGTTTTTTGAATGGATGATCAGAGAGAAATGATCTTTCTCCACAGCCCCCGAATTCCCATATATTGATTTTTTATGCTTTTGCGTTTAGCGGTCAGCTTGCTGGCGCACTAACGGCTAATGCTCGCCCTAGCTGTATTGTAGCATAGAAGATACGGTAGTAGTATCTGTTTAACTCATTACTTGACACAGCCCGGAGGGGAGCGACCTTCCTCCTGGGAGCTGGAGCATTCTGTGTGATGGGGGGGGAGCAATCTCACTCTGCGGGAGCGCTGGACGGAAGCCAAGATGATCAATGGGGCAACCATTGACATGATTCCATTTGCGCTTCATTTGTTGTTATTTTGGTGTTGGTAGTTAAAGGACGCTCCGGATTTGCCCACTGTTATCACCAGGTGGATTTTCAACCTGATCATCATGGTGAGATGATTGTGAGTGATTAACGTTGATGATTGTATGATGATGTGCATGATGATGGGTTGATGACTTTATGATATATTGGATTTGTGTGTGATATTGGGATGGCATGATCGAACGCGCGGTAGATTAAGGTTACGAGGATGATAAGAGGGATGAATAGAGATCTCCGGGCGGGTATTAATGATGCGGTATTTCTGTGATTGTGTAATGTGTATACGTAGATTGCCTGTAAATGATCTCTATCTCT